TTTTAAAATCCAACTGGAAAAGATCAAGGTAAATGGGTGGGGGGGGGGGGGGAACCTTTGACAAGCCACCAACAACTTCAAGAATAAGAGGACACAGATTCAAGCTAAGGAATCAAAGGTGCTAAAAATACATTAGAAAGTTTTCTTTTGCAAACAAAATGGTAGACGGTTGGACCTAGCCAAGTGAGAAGATGGTGGAGGCCAAAACCGTCAGTAGTTTCAAAGCGTTATACGACAAAAAGTACTGGGAAGATGGGACACCACGAGTGTAGCTCTCATCCTGTAACTACACTTGAATAATTATACTTAGGTAATTATAGGCTTGGCACTGCCTAGAAATGCTGATCAGATAACAAGCCACCAAAACCTGATTTGGAACACAAGAACCCACATCCCTACATCGCCACTGAAGACAAATTTGCCCTGAAACAGACACTGCATACATGCAGATGTCATAGGACCATGGGTGGCAGCAAACTACCTAAGCTTAAAGAAACAAGCCTAAAGAAAAAGAAAGAAACGAAATAGCCTACGGAGTTCCCCATAATAACCTCTCCTGAAATCAGGGTTTTCAACTGCTTCAACCTTCCACATTATAATGCATTGCATATTCCCAAAAAGACATGGTCACTTTTACCCAAGGGAGGGAGGTACTGAATGTCAAATATCTCTTCCTTTTTCCTGGTAAATAACAAATCCAGCATGAAGGGAACATCCCCTTCCCTCATCCTCGTAGCTTGTTTAACATGTTGAAACATGAATGTTTCCAGGATGAGGTTTACGAATCTACAAGTCCAAAAATCATCTATTCTAGCTTCATATGCCTCCCAGTCTATGGATTTCAAGTTGAAGTCGCCGACTACCAACAGCCGTGATCTATCTTTATCACCTCTCACTATAATCTCTCTCATTATTGTTATAAGCCCCTCTTGTTTATTATCCAGCTCCTCCTTTGACTATGTGTTGCTTGGCGGTGGACTATATGCATTTATGATCATTAGTTTATCATCCTGATTGCAGATCTCTAGTGCTATTATGTCAACTAATCGTGGATTGACAATCATTATTTCACTTACCTTTAGGTGTTCTTTCACCAGCACAGCAATGCCACCGCCTTTCCTAATTTTTCTGTCCCGTCTCCAGACCGAGTAGCCCCTTGGGAATATGATCTCATTTAAAATTACATCTTCATGTTTTGTCTCTGTGAGTGCAACAATGTCTAGTGTCTGCAGCTATATTACATCACTCAACTCCAGTATCTTTGAACTCACTCCATCTATGGTGGTGTATGCATTTTTCATGAACATGTTCCCCCTCTCCTTATTCTTCACTACCCCTTTCTCTAGTGATTTTGTTGGTTTGCCTTTTTGTACCATTTTACTGGTCTGCCTACTCCTATAACTTTGTAGAAAAAGAATTGATTTTGTCTTCATTCTGCTCTCATTTAGACGTTTAGACATGGGGGTTTCCATAGGCTATTGCTCCTCGTGCCTCTCTGAGGAGGCCATGTTTGGGCTTGTGATCATCGGTAGGCAAGAACTCCAACTGATGCCACGGTCTAATACATACATATCAGCTCAGTAAACTTAGGGGAGCCATAGGGGCTCCCCACAGAAATGACCAAGAAATAATGTACACTTAAAAAAATAAAAATAATGCAATTTAGAACTGTTATTGGGTAAAGGAGAACTGTTAATTTATAATAATTTTGTATTGAAATTTTAAAATGTTGAAATAGGAGAAGGTAAATTGTATGAGAAAGCATGACAGAAATTTGTATTTGGTCTTTATGCATGGAAAAGGGTGTCTATAATTCAGCAACAAAAGTACATTTCTAACGTTAATGACTAAATTGTATAAAGTGTGACAGACAAATTATTAATTAGCAACAGCTTGAATTAAAATTCAAAATATTTCTGGGGGGAGCCCCTGTGACTCCCTGGTGCTATCCAGGCTGATATGGATACATGAGACTTTGGCATCAGTCAATGTGCATGGAATTCTATTCCTACCAGGGAACCACGAGCCAGAACCTAGCCCCCTCAGAGAGGAAGGAGGAGCAATGGCCTATAGAACCCCCCCCCCCCCCCGTGAGGTTGGAAGAATTCTGTCTGGCATCGACCAGGTCAGGCACCCAGAAAGGTAAGTGCCCCAAAACAAACCCCTATTCTAGTTGACATTGCTGCTGAAAGCCGAACTAGTGGACAGAACTCCCCAAATGAAAATGAGCAAACGAGCATGACGTCACAACGACATTGTACTGCTGTCTGTGAAACCCCCTTTCCCTGGGAGGGGGAAGGGGGAGCCCCAGACCCTCGTGCTGGTTCAGCTGTTGCTCCAGGTCCTGTCTTCCTTGGAGACTTACCAGGGGAGAGTTGTTCTTCTGATTGACCTGGATGTTCCTGACCCTTGGTGGCTGGCCCAGCCTTGGTTTCAGGTGCTGCTTGCTCGGTATCCAAACCCAAGGGTCTTCCCGCGGCTCCGTCTCTTTCAGCAGATTTGGTCCAGCCCAGTAGGTGGCTGGTTCGCACTTCTCGAGTCTTCGCGTCTGTGCTTTCTGACTCGGGTCTGTCATCACTTGTATGGTGTGCAGGTGGCTTCATTGATGGTGTTCCACCTGTGTGCTTTGTCTCAGCAGCAGTATGAAGTTTCCTGGTGGTCCTTTTGTTATTTCTTATCTCTGCATAGGTGAACTTCTGTCTCGGATAAAGTTGTCTTGTCCTTCCTTTTGTGATTGTTCCAGGACCATCATCTTATGCCGAATATTATCGCGTATCGTAATTACCAAAGTGTAATTATCTAAGTGTAGTTACAGGATGAGAGCTACGCTCGTGGTGTCCCGTCTTCCCAGCACTCTTTGTCATATAACGCTTTGAAACTACTTACGGTTTTGGCCTCCATCACCTTCTCGCTTAACTTGTTACAACCGTCTACCACTTGTTTGCGAAGGTGAATTTTCTTATATTTCTTCTGCATCTTTGTTTAATTAGTTTAAATCTATGACCTCTTGTTCTTGAAGTTCCAGGTCTCAGAAAATCTTCCCTGTCGATTTTATCAATTCCTGTTACTATTTTGTACGTAGTGAAAAGTGATCATATCACCTCTTTTTCTTCTGTCTTCTAGTTTTGGCATATTTAATGCCTCTAACCTCTCCTCGTAGCTCTTGCCCTTCAGTTCTGGGAGCCACTTAGTAGTATGTCTTTGCACCTTTTCCAGTTTGTTGATGTGCTTCTTAAGATATGGGCACCACACAACCGCTGCATATTCGAGCTTTGGCCTAACAAAAGTCGTGAACAATTTGTGAAAATTTGTGCGGCACTGGCGGAGCTGCTGCAGCTTACGTTCGGTATTCCTGTTACTTCTGTGCCATTTCACAAGCTTTCTCGTGTGTTGTTTCACCTTCGGCCTGCTCATGTGCCGCCTAAGCCGTCCTGGTCGTTAGATCGGGTGCTCTCCTTTCACCCTTCTCCTCGGTTTGTGGTGGCCCCTTCGGTTCAGGATTGTTTTTCTAAAGATCTTTTTTCCTGTTGGCATTGGCCTCTGGGGGTCGGATCGGGGAGCTTCATGCTCTCCTTCAGCACAGGGGTTTCTGCTCTTTTGGGTTTTATGGTAGGTTTGGTCGTTTTCAGCCTTTTTTCTTCTGTTCTGGTGAAGAATGAGACTGCTGCTTTCCGGAGGGGTCGTGGGTTGTTGATGCTTGGTTAGTTCAGCTGGGGGTGCATCATGTGTTGTGTCCGGTTGTGGCTCTTCGCAGTTACCTATGCACCACGACCTCGGTGGCCAAGGACGCGCTTTGGATTGACCCCGTTTCCCTTCTTCCCAGTTCCACGGCTTGGGTCTTTCAGGTCGTCCGCAGGGTTATTCGGTCCAGCCAGCCTGCTGTCTATCCTCGTGCCCATGACATTTGTAAGTTTGCTGCTTTGGCTGCCGTTTTTGTTAACATGTCTGGGGCTGACATTCGGGCACGGGGAATTTGGAGGTCAAACAGGGTCCTGGCTGCTCGCTACCAAGTCAATGTTCCTGACCCGAGTCGGGCATATGTCGCATTGGATCGGCAGTTGGAGCCAGATGTGTTGACTTCAAGTTGAGGAGCGAGTGGCAACCGCCTCCCAGGTTAGTTCCTCTTGTTTTATCTTTGGTTAAGTAGTTCCGAGAAGCCGAAGAGGCTCCCCCCAGAAAACCAGCATTGAATGTAAGGAAACACCATTTTCTGGGTGAGACCCGGAGGCTCCCTGGCAACCCTCTCTCCCAACGGTAAGCAGTTTGTTATTATTTTGACATCCAGCCTCAGAACTGGAGGTGTGGATAGCTGGTGTGGGGGTCTTTGGGGTTCCCCGTTCCTTTTCCCGGGGAGGTGGGAGACATGCAGACAATGGTGTGGTGACTGTTGTGACATCATGCTTGTTTGCTCGTTTTCGTTTGGGGAGTTCTGTCCAACAGTTCGGGTTTCTGTAGCAATTTTTTAAGCAGTTAGGGTTTGTTTTGGGGTGCCTACCTTCCTGGGTGTCTAACCCGGTCGATGGCAGATATAGAATGCTTCCAACCACACAGGAGTTTCTATAGGCCATTGCTCCTCATGCCTCTCTGAGGGGCCAGGTTCTGGCTCATGGTCACCCGGTAGGCCTAGAACTCCATTCGCTTTGACTGATGCCAGGGTCTAATACATTCATATCAGCCTGGATAGCTCCAAGGAAGCTCCGGGTCTCACCCAGAAAATGGCGTTTCATTACATTAAACGCTGTTTTTTTTTTTTTTTACAAGTTGAAGTGATTTAGAGGGAAATATTTTCTTGGTATATATAGAGATATATTAGGAAATGTATGTGTTAGTGTTGGATGTTTAACAGTCGAAGATGAGGAGATGGTCGGTAACTAAAAAGTTTAAGGAAAATGTCATAGATGCCACCCTACGATGAATGTGGGAAATGGCATGCAAAATGTAGATAGGCAGAGAGAATCATGGTTTGAATGGCTGCACAGTAATGTCTGTTTTGTTTTTAGTCCCTAGATAGACAATTCAGCTCAGAATCAAGGAGGAGTAAGAGCTTCGAGGAACGGGAAGAGGAATACGAAAAAGTAAGGAAGCGAATATTCAGTCAGGAGGTAAGAATCTTAAACTAATGAAGAAGGAACTCTTGTGGGCAATCCAATCATATCATACATATTTCCCAGCAATTATTTGCCTCTTCAATATTATGGAATGGAGAAATACCGAGGAAGTTTGTTGCCTTTTCAGAGTAGTAGTACAGTAATAGTTATTAGGAGGAAGAGTTTAGGGGTAAGAGTCTTTGGTGAGGGACAAGCAGGGGGTGTTAGCATGCTCTCCAACTCACTGTGCTTTTCCATCATATAAACTGACTCGTTACAGAAAAGTCATCAATCATTGTTGCGCTTCTATGGAATTTTAGATTATATATATATATATATATATATATATATATATATATATATATATATATATATATATATATATATATATATATATATATATATATATATATATACATACATACATATATATATATATATATATATATATATATATTATATATATATATATATATATATATATATATATATATATATATATATATATATATATATATATATATATATATATATATATATATATATATATATATATATATATATATATATATATATATATATATATTAGTGCATCACTAATACATAACCTCCTGAGTTTGTTGGATATACACCATATTGAAAGGCTTTAGATGCTCCATGACATCACATTTGATGATTATTATCTTCACATCAAGTAATATATGAGCTCACATTAAACTTAGAGGTCACTGACGTTTCATAAAAGTAAGAGACCAAGTTGAAATCAGCCTTACTAAAGCAGTCATTAATGAGGCATCAATGTTTACAGAGTGAGTCACTGTTTTTAATTATACATATAGTAATTTGCTGGAGGCTAAGCATTCATTGCATATAAGATTTCCTTCAAGAAAATGAGGCTTACTTGTTGCAGTTCATAACAAAGTGGTCACAAACATGCGATATTGATTCTTTACCTTATACAAAGGTTAATGATTTTCCCAAAAAATTATTATAATTTTTAATTTAGATTTCTTGTTTAACCTCATTTTCTCAACACTATGAATATTATAAAAAATAACCTACACATCTTTACTCTTGTTTACTCTTGATAATGAATTAGTGAAAAATAAAGGAACATTTAAATTTCACATTGATATGGGAAATACGTTACTTGGAATAAATGGCGACATCAAAATTATAACCTACTGCAGTTGAATTTTAACTATGTGTCTTAAATTTGACTCTGTTGCAAGTAGGATTTTAGCCTTGATAGTAGTAATTAACAATATACAGGTATTCCAGAAAACTGAAAAAGATCAGTTCCCTATACAGTATAATATCCTACAACATAAAACTAGCTTTGAATGTAATGAAATGCCATTTTCTGGGTGAGACCCGGAGGCTCCCAGAGCTATCCAGGCTGATATGGACATATTAGACTTTAGCATCAGTCAATGTGCATGAAATTCTAGGCCTACCGGGGTCCACGAGCCAGAACCTGGCACGATGAGCAATGGCCTATAGAAACCCCCCGTGTGTGGTTGGAAGCATTCTATGTCTGCCGTCGACCGGGTCAGGCACCCAGAAAGGTATGCGCCCCAAAACAAACCCCTGTTCTGGTTAACATTGCTAGTGAAAGCCAAACTAGTGGACAGAGCTCCTCCAAATAAAAAATGAGCAAACGAGCATGATATCACTACATTGCCCCCCCCCCCCCCGCTGTCTGTGCGGCCCCCCCCTCCCCTGGTGTGGGAAGGGGGAGCTCCAGGCCCTCGCACTGGCTATCCACACCTCAGTTTTGAGGCTGGATATCAATACATCCGAAAAAACTGCCTAACGGAGGGAGAGAGGGTTGCTGGGGAGCCTCCGGGTCTCACCCAGAAAATGGCATTTCATTACATTCAGTGCTGATTTTCTAGGGGGGAGCCCCCTGCAGCTCCCTGGAGCTACTTGCACAAATACAAAACCAAACAATAGGGACTTACCTGGGATGTGGTCGGCTCTCGCTCCTCAACTCGAAGTCGAGACAACTGGCTGCAACCTCCAACCCAATACAACACATGACCGACTGGGCCCAGGAACATTAACAAGGTAGCGAGTGGCCAGGACTCTGTTCGACATCCAAAAACCCCGTGCCCGAATGTCAACCCAAGAGATGTCACCGAAGACGGCAGCCAATACAGGAAACTTACGAACGTCGTGGGCACGAGGATAGACCGCAGGCTGGCTGGACCGAATAACCCTGCAGACGACCTGAGAGATCCGAGCCCTGGAACCAGTAGGAAGAAGGGAAACCGGGTCAACCCAAAGCGCGTCCCTGGCCACCAAAGCCGTAGCACGCAGATAACTGCAGAGAGCCACAACCGGACACAACACATGATGCACCCTCAGCCTAACCAACCAAGCATCAACAACCCAAGGACCTCTCCGGAAAGCAGCAGCACTCATTCTATGCCTGAAAAAAAAGGAGACGGCTCCAAACAAAAAAACCTACCACCAGGACCAAAAGAGCAGAAACCCCTGTGATGGAGAAGAGCGTGAAGTTCCCCGACCTGACCCCCAGAGGCCAATGCCAACAGGAAAAAGAGCTTTAGAAAAACAATCCTGAACCGAAGGTGCCACCCCAAACCGAGGAGAAGAGAGACAGGAGAGCACCCGGTCCAACGAGCAGGACGGCTCAGACAGCGCATGAGCAGGCCGAAGGTGAAACAACACACGAGACAGCTTGCAGAACATAGCAGAAGTAACATCAATACCGAACGTAAGCTGCAGCGGCTCTGTCAGTGCCGCACGATACGAGGCAACAGTATTTGGCATAAGATGATGGTCCTGGAACAACCATGAAAGGAAAGACAAGACAGCCTTATCCGAGACAGAAGTACACCTACACAGAGATAAGAAATAATGGAAGGACCACCATCAATGAAGGCACTTGCGCACCATACAAGTGATGCCAGATCCGAGTCAGAAAGCCCAGACGCGAAGACTCGAGAAGAGCGAACTGGCCACATACTGGGCTGGAGCAATCTGCTGAAAGAGGCAGAGCCGCGGGATGACTCTCGGGTTTTGAACACCAAGCAAGCAGCGCTTGAAACCAAGGCTGGGTCAGCCACCAAGTGGCCAGAAGAACAACTCTTCCCTGGTAACTATCCAAGGAAGCCAGGACCTGGAGCAATAGCTGAACCAGCACGAGGGTCTGGGGCTCCTTTTCCCCTCCCGGGCAGGTGGGGTTGCACAGACAGCAGCGCAGTGATGTTGTGATGTCATGCTCGTTTGGTCGTTTTCATTTGGGGAGTTCTGTCTACTAGTTCAGCTTTCAGCAGCAATGTTAACCAGAATAGGGGTTTGTTTTGGGGCGTTTACCTTTCTGGGTGCCTGACCCAGTTGATGACAGACATAGAATCCTTCCAACCACACGGGGGGGTTTCTATAGGCCATTGCTCATCGTGCCTCTCTGAGGGGGCTAGGTTCTGACTCGTGGTCCCCTGGTAGGCCTAGAATTCCATGCACACTGACTGATGGCAAAGTCTAATATATCCATATCAGCCTGGATAGTTCCAGAAATATTTTGAACTTTAATTCAAGCTATTGCTAACCAATAAGTTGTCTTATCTCAATGTTTTATACAATTTAGAGACATTTAAGTTAGAAATGTACTTTTATTGCTGAATTATAGACACCTTTTTCCATACATAAAGACAAAATACAAATTTCTGTCATGCTTTCTCATACAATTTATCCTCTCCTATTTCAACATTTTAAAATTTCAATACAAAATTATTATGAATTAAAATTTCTCCTTATCCCAATAGCAGTTCTAAATTGCATTTTTTTAGTTTTTCAAGTGTACATTATTTCTTGGTCACTTCTGTGGGGACCCCTATGGCTTCCCAAAGTTTACCGGGCTGATATGCATGTATTAGATTGTGGCATCAGTCAATGGAGTTCTTGCCTACTGGAGACCACGAGCCCAAACCTGGCTCCTCAGAAAGGCACGAGGAGCAATGGCCTGCGGAAACCCCATGTGTTTGGAAGCATTCCATGTCTGCCATTGATCGGGGTTTGGCACCCAGAAAGGTAGGCAAAGGTAGGCAAACTCCCAATGGTAAAAATTGCTACCTAAAACCGAACAGAGAGGCAGAACTCTTAAACTAAAACAAACAAATGTCACTAATACGGTTGTGCCGATCGTCAGGGGGGCTATGGGGCATTCAGTTTCTCGATTGATGTGGACTGTGGCGGTCATCGTCTCTGGCCTCTGACTCTTGCAGTTCTATTCCTTGTGGTGTATTCTGCTGTGTGTGGTGCGCAGGCCAGTAATTCATCAGTACTGGGGCTGCATGCTCTTAGGGCCACCTTCCTTAAGCACCCTGTAAGTACTGCCTTTGCATCTTGGGGTTATCTTCCACAAGACATTCAGGAACCGTTTCCGTTGGGGTCTTTTACTGCTCAGCAATTCCCCGCCCTTGGGGCCAGCAGGGTTTTTCTTACCTCTGTTTTGCCTTGGGTAGGAATTGGTATCGTTGCTGGTAGGAGTGCAAGGTATTGTGCAGCTTGTCTCCCATTATTTACAGCAGCCAGTTCTGTTCCTCCTGGAGATGTACTTTTGCAGGATTTTATTTTTATTTTTGTTTGTTTTGCCTGGTGGGGGTCTGCCTCCTTTGTTTCTCCACCTTCTGTTATATTGGTGGGTCCCTGTGCTTGTACATGTCTCAGGGGTTAAGGATTTTAACAGTTCTCTTGGTAGTTCTAACTGGTTAGAACTACCTAACAGGCCTAACTAGTTAGCAATACCTTGCCTGGGCTTCCCTTAGCAGTCAACTTAAGGAGCCCTTGAAAACTTCATTGGGACTCTTTGGACCTATTGACGCATCTTCTGGGTTCCAGCTCACCGAGTGCGAGTTTAATGGTTGCTCTGTCTCCTTGTCTGACGGTGACTCTCACCAGTTTTCCCTCTGTCATGCTTCATGTTGAGTCAGTGACACCTTTGACCCAGAGTCTTGCAAGTCTTGCTCCTTGCTCGTGTTCCAAATTAC